CCCCTGCGTTATTTTTCCTACAGAAGAATGATTTCCTTTTTACACAGCTGGAATGAGCAGCGGGTTCATATGGAAACAGATGTTCGCCTTTAAAGCTGAGTGAAGATTTTCCATCCCTTGGCTCCATCACCAACCCAAAGGGAGACTGTGACCAAGAAATCAGAAGGAGCAGCTATGAAGGAGAGAGAAAAGATTCTCAGGTGTAAGGATGTGCCTCTGGAAGATCAAGATAATAAATACCATAGTATCCCCCATTACTGTATATGGGTCTGAAAGTTGGACAGCGAAGAAAGGCAACAGGAGGAAAGTTGGTGCCTTTGAAAGGTGGTGTTGGAGGAGGAGAGTTTTACGGATGCTATGGACAGCCGGAAAGACAAAATAAGTGGGTTCTAGATCAAACCAAGCCTGACCTCTCCCTAGAAACTAAAATGGCTCAACTGAAGCGATTGTCATTTGATCTCATTATAAGAAGACAGGAGTCAGTGGAAAAGGCAATAATGCTAGGAAAAGTTGAAGGTAGCAGGAAAAGAGGAAGACCCAACACGAGATGGATTGACTCCATAAAGCCAAGTCAGGGCCCTCGGTTTGCAAGACCTGAGCAAACGTGTTAACCGTAGGTCATTAATTCACAGGATTGCCATACGTTGGAGGCAACTTGACAGCATTTAACATACCACAGTCTTTAAGGTGTCGCTTTAAAGTATCACTAGCCTTTGGTTTTCGTTTGAAGGCAAAACAAACTCACAGCTCATCTATAGAAGCTTCACTATTGAAAAAGTATTTAATGAGGGGCATAACTCTGGTTCTTGCATAACTCCGGTTCTCTGCCTCTTCTGCAGATAGCAACTAAAATGGGCAAAGGAACAGTGAAAACTTAGTTAAAAGAAAAGAAACTTGCCCTTCATTGGTTCCTAACTAAGGCCACAATTGTACAGTCTGGCTTCTTCCGCCTGACCTCTCCCTAGAAACTAAAATGGCTCAACTGAAGCGATTGTAATTTGATCCCATTATAAGAAGACAGGAGTCAGTGGAAAAGGCAATAATGCTAGGAAAAGTTGAAGGTAGCAGGAAAAGAGGAAGACCCAACACGAGATGGATTGACTCCATAAAGCCAAGTCAGGGCCCTCGGTTTGCAAGACCTGAGCAAACGTGTTAACCGTAGGTCATTAATTCACAGGATTGCCATACGTTGGAGGCAACTTGACAGCATTTAACATACCACAGTCTTTAAGGTGTCGCTTTAAAGTATCACTAGCCTTTGGTTTTCGTTTGAAGGCAAAACAAACTCACAGCTCATCTATAGAAGCTTCACTATTGAAAAAGTATTTAATGAGGGGCATAACTCTGGTTCTTGCATAACTCCGGTTCTCTGCCTCTTCTGCAGATAGCAACTAAAATGGGCAAAGGAACAGTGAAAACTTAGTTAAAAGAAAAGAAACTTGCCCTTCTGTTTTCTGCCACCTAATCAGTTGCAAGGCTTGTGGTTAACTTGCAAAACAAAACAGATCACCTTAATACAGACCTTACTTCTGGCGGGAGCTGGGACTAGGGCTGGGAGCTCACTCCGGCTGCGGTGGGTCTCGAACAGCCATAGTGGCTGTTCGTTGATGTTATAGCAGGCGTTCTTACTGCCTGCGCCACCGCTCCCTATATTTCTTCTGAGTAAATATGCATCAGCAACCTGAATAGCCTGATATCAGAACTTGGAAGTGAAGCAGGATTGGCCACGGTTAGTGCTTGGAGGGGGGGCCACCAAGGAAGACTGGGGTTGTTATGCAGAGGATGGCAATAGCAAACCACCTCTGCTCATCTCTTGCTTTGAAAACCCCATAGTCCTACAGTCACCATGAGTTGGTTGTGACTTCACAGCACACAATTAACATATTATTACTAAATATGCATATTATCAGCTTGGTCCTACCTTCCACTATGGTGCTGTGTTGTGCAAATTGGCCCTCAGCACCTTTGAGGCAAACCCCATGGAGGGAAAGCTGAGAGCTTCGCTCTTCTTTCCTGAACACATGCTGCTGCCTTGTACTGAATCAGACTATTGGTCCATCAAAGTCAGTATTGTCTACTCAAACTGGCAGTGGCTGTTCAAGGTCTCAAGCCAAAGGTCTTTCACATCACCTACTACATGATCTTCTGAAGATGCTGGGGATTGAACCTGGGACTTCCTGCATTCCAAGCAGGTAAGGTAACTAGGGTTGCGGTGCTCATCTCCGTTTCAAAGCCGAAGAGCCAGCGCTGTCCGAAGACGTTTCCGTGGTCATGTGGCCGGCATGACTAAACACCAAGGCGCACGGAACGCTGTTACCTTCCCACCGAAGTGGTACCTATTTATCTACTTGCAATTTCTTGCTTTCGAACTGCTAGGTTGGCAGGAGCTGGAACTAGAGACAGGAGCTCACCCTGTCTTGCGGCACCCGGGTCTTGAACCGCTGAACTACTGACCTTCCACAGCCTGCAGTTCAGCGTCTTAACCACTTGAGCCACCGCAGCTCCTATTCCAAGCAGGTAATCTACTCCTAAACCACACCCTCTCCTGCCTGCTCTGGGCATTCACGAAATCATCCATCACAATCAAGTTGTAAAACTGGCATTCTCCCTTTTACTGAGCTGGGCATTCTTGGTGAACCTCAGCAAGAAATACTTTATTTCACAGCAGGAGCATTGGTTAGCAGCCTGAAATCTTAGAGAAGGGGCTCAAGCCCTGAAGCCCCCATGAGGTTTACTCTTAGGGGCAAAAGACATGGAGAATACTAACAATGTTTCCCTGCCTAAATGCCAATGGTCATTTACTGTTCCTCAGGACTGACTCAAGTCTCTTCTGTAAAAATCAGTGCATGAAATAATAATAGCCATCATCATTAATAAAACCCTTTCCCCAAGCAGGCCTCAGTACTGACTTACTGACTTGCTCTGGCAAATCCAAAGATTGGTTCCTGGCAGAAGTCCCAACTGCCTCTGGCTTAAAAATATAAAACCCACAACTTAAGTATTTCATGTAATTAATTTTGTTTCATTTTAACAGCTGTGTAGCGCAGCCAGGTCAACAGTTTCCCTATCTTACAGGTGGGATGGGCAGGTGGTTTGCCATCCAGAGCATCTGAATTTGAAGTCCAATGGGGCAGTCACCTTAGCCCAGAAGAGCAAGACAAAATGGAGTCTCTCCTGGCACTTCAAAGACAAACAAAACAGGTTTATTGTGGCAGAATTTTTTGTGTGCTTGAGCCCCATTTCATCAGATGCTTGCAACATAATCCTCAACAGATAGATATTCATTGGCATGGACACTGCAGGATGGAAGAGTACAAGGGGTCCAGTGTGTAACCAAACACAGAGATGTCCATAAGCTTACTAGACTGTCTGCTGTAGCCCTGAAACGTCCAAGAGCATTTTTGCTCCCCCAGTACTAGAATCCAGCGGTAAGCAGCATCTGGCCCTGGAGAATCCATTTAATCATCATGACTAAAAGCCACTGATGGGCCTCTCCTTCATGAATTTGTCTAGACCCCTTTGAAAGCCCGATAAGCTTTTGGCCATCACAACATTCTCCAGCAGTGAGTTCCACAAGCCAATCATTCCTCAAGCAAAGAAGCACTTCCTTCAGAATAGATTTCTGTGCTTCAGGGTGGCTTCTAGCATGGTAAAACCATACAAAAGACTAAAGTTCTTAGTGACAAAACAGGACAACCGAACAGCTTTCCACGGTTGCCCTGGAGTGGAAGGCACTCCGGGCCTTTCTTGTCTAAACATTTTGAAGGGCTTGTGAACATGTGAACGCAGTGGCCTGTGCTGGTCTGGCTTCTTAGACAGGCTGTGCAAGGTTGCAAAGCTTTTGATTACTTTATGACCGAAAACCGGCCTTGTGATTTTGAGGGACTGTGTGTGCACATCCAGGGTGGGGAATGATTCTGACTTTGGATTTTTAAACAGCCTTGTGTATGAGACAGAGTTAGGAACTGCAAATCTTTTGTTTCTTGTTTCATTTAAAAATACCAGCTTTTTGCAGCTTTCCAATAACAAAAAGGAGGTAGGTGGAAAAGGGAATATTTATTTAGCGCTTCACAGGTTTGCAGAGAATAATGTTCCATTCCCCAACTCTGCAGGTGCAGGAAGGGATGGAGGTGTCTTGCCACCTTACCTGCCCCTGCATAACCTGACAACCCCCCCCCCCCACCAGCAATGTTCTTGCAAATTCTTGTCATGTGTTTTCTGAGCCTGTTTTGGGCATGTGCTCCCCCCTCCCGTCAGTCCAGTCATTGTCTTTCTGGAATTCTCCTGTGCAGCTAACTAGAAACCTTTTCCTGTACAGGAGGCTTCATACATGATTAACACATGGAATTCAC